TAAGACCATTAATGTTAAGGGTTAGGACTGAGAGGTGTCTGTCTGCCCCCACATTTTTCTCCATATTTTGGGGGGAAGCTGTGCTTTGGCTGTTCTTGTTGTGATTACATATTTCTCTGTTTGTGGACTGCTTTGTTGCCTATATTCTGTTCTCGTTGGTTTTCTATGTGTAGAGTGGCTTTGAGGATTTTTTGGAGAGTTGGTTTGGTAGAAATATATTGCTTCAGATTTTCCTTGCTATGGAAGGTTTTTATTTGTACTGCTGTGAATGAGAGCTTAGCTGGGTAGATTATTCTTATTTGGTAGTTATTTGACCTTAGGGCATGGCATACCTCTTTCCAGGCCATCCTTGCTTTTATAGTGTCTGCAGAGAAGTCTGAGGTGTTCTGATTGGGTTACCTTTATATGTGATTGATCTCTCCTCCCTGACAGGTTTAAGAATTATTTCTTTAGTGGCTATTGAGCAGGTATGCATTATAATGTGGCAGTGGGATGACCTGTTCTAGTCTGGTCTATTTGGGGTTCTAAAAGCTTCTTGTATTGGATGGGCCTGTCCTTTTGTATATTTGGGAAGTTCTCTGCTAGGATTCTGCTGAATATATTTCCTAATCCATTGGCTTCCCTCTCCAGGCCCTCCTGTATACCTATTGTTCTCAAATTAGGCTTTCTAAATATATCCTGTATTTCCTGCAGTGATCTTTCATGCTTTTAGTTTTGTTATGAATAATTGTGTGCTCCTTCTCTATGGAGTATAAACTGTCTTCAGCCTCCAATATTCTTTCTTTGGCCTCCTCCATTCTACTATGAAGGCTTTTTACTTTGGTGTCTATCACCTTTGCTTCTTGCTGGTCTTTCTTAATGGTGGCCAGCTCCTTATTAAGGTTTTCTTTTAAGTCTTGAATAGATTGCCTTACCTCCTGGAGTTGGTTCTCAGACTTTTCTTTCCACTCCTTAATCTGGGTTCCTATCTTTTCATTAACTTCTTTGTCCTTCTGCTGGAGTTACTTTATCTTTTTGTTTGTGGAGGCCATGAAGTCATCTATTAGCTTATGGTTGGCCTCATTACATTCTCTAATAACCCTATGCAAGGTGTCCAATTTTTCATTCAGCAGGTTTACCAGCCATGCTTTTAATCTATCTTGAGCATTATCCTATAGGTTATTCTGGGACTGCTCTGTAGCTTGTTTATGTAGAGATGGTGTTGGGGTTTGTTGATTGGCCATGTTCCTTGTGTTTCTGTGGTTAGTTCTCTCCATTTGGAGACAAGAACCACACTGGTACAACAGTAGGACTGGAGCCAACTCGGAGTTGTGTAGATGTATAGATCTGAGGGTTTCAAAATTATGTGTAGGTGTTTTCCTATTTAGCTCTCCTTTTCTTTGCTTGGAGAGGGATATTGTGGCTTCAGGGTTGGGATTATGGATAGTTGTAACTTTTGAGACAACTTGGGTTTGGCTGATAAGTAAACTGCTCCTTAGAGTTAACAAGATGGGCCCCTTATACTCAAAATAGTCAAATGGAATCAATTTTATGGTCAAATATAGAACCAACTGTAAGTTGGTCCAGATATAAACCATTAGGGATCAATGGGCTGGTGCAGATGGAGAAGTAAAGGGTTTAGAAGAGGACTTAGGTATAATGATAGTAGAGGGGTAAGAACAGCTTAGGGGAGGGGTATACGTAGTAGGAAGAGAATAAAGACCTTGTTACCGAGTGTAAGAGGTGGAAAAGAATTCGAAGAAAGGTTATGTAGGGAGTAGCTTAGAGATCAAGATGAAGGTAAGAAAAAGAAGTTATATGTAAGTACATTTGGGGGACTTGTTGAGATTAGAGAAATATTATTCAGATATTATTGGAGAGTCGCTTAATCTAAGTTAACTCCTGTAATTATTGCTTACACATATAGAATGAGGCCTTACTTTGTGTATAGAACTAGGGAGGGTAGCTCTGATGGAGTAGTAGTATAATGTGGAGAGAAAGGAGAAGAGGAGAGTGGGAGGAAAAGAAAGAAGAAAAGAAAAAGAAAAACTACAATTTAGGAAATTGGAAAGTGGGAGAAAAAAAACAATAATGAAAAATAGAAGCTTTAAATGGAATAACAAATCCTAAATCACAATACACATAAGTAACACATAGAAATAAAAACAAACAACAGAGATAAAAACGAATAAAACAAAACAAAAACAAGAACAAAAAACTAAAGAATGTGTTTTTCGGGTTCTTTGGGGGAGCTGTAGTCTCCTCGTAGACCTCAGAGCAGATTCCTGATAGAATCTTGTTTGTCTTGCTGTAGTCCACTTTCCTTGTGGCTTGGTTGGGAGAGGATGGCCTTTTGATGGGGGAGGGCGCCTGCTATCTACAGTCCCACTCTCAGCCGGTGGGAGGGAGTTTTGGGGGTTTCAGGTTTGTAGACTGCTATCATAGGCCTGGAGCTGTGTTCCCAGGCTTTCCCAGGTAGCCACAGGAGCCTTAGGAACAGAGCTTATGTCCGTGTTCTGTTCTGGTATGATCCCTCCATTTTGGATGGGGGCTTGGGTCAGAGGGCTTTGGGATCCCACGCGGAATTGCCACCCAGGGAGTGGACCCAGCTGGGTTACTCACGAGGTCTGTGGCTGGTGGTGCGCTGGACCACACAGCCTGTGCTGTGGCCGGTAGGATGGAGCTGGCGGGTTCTCAGTCAGAGGGTCTGGGTGTTGGCAGGTGCAGGTGGAGGGGGGTGGCTCTGCTGATGCTGAAGGGTCTCCTCTGTGGTAGCGTGGGGAGTCCTGGCGCTGGGGGAGCCAGGTGGAGGTGTGGGCTGAGGGGTCCGTCCTGGTCTGCAGCAGAGGAGGTGGGAGGTGGCCGGCCGGCCGGTGGCCAGCAGCCTTGGGGTGGCTGCTTGCGGCTGCTCGGTGAGTCTGCGGAGATGCCTGTAGCAGCTTGGTGGTACTATGGCTGTGAGAGCAGGTGTGGAGGGAGCAGGTCCCAGCAGTGGGCCCAGTCAGCAGGGTGGCTGGCCCGTGGAGCTTAGAGCGATGGATTGGCTGCGGCTGTGGTTTCCTGGGAGCCTTGTGCGGGGTTGGCGGGGTGGGGGTGCAGGGGGACCCCGCCAGCGCTGCAGTCACGGGCTGACTTTGGGGGCCTGCCCGGTGGTGCCCATTTCTGGCGATTGTAGTGGCGGTATTGCTGAGTTTGCAGGCTTGGAGGTCTTCCCCAGATTCCCTCCTAACTTTCCAGGGGTCTAGGCTTGAGCGCCTTCTTCAGTTTCTGGGTGCTCCTCTGCTTAAAGTCTGCAGAGAGTCCCGGAGCCCTGTGCAGCAGATGCTCCGCAGGGGTCCCGTTCACTGTCTCTCTTTTCTTCTTATTTGCCTGCGAGGATAGTCCTCTGGTAGTAGAAAAAGTCTTTAGGTATTGAAAGTTTGATTGAAGTAGAGCTCTTGAGGTAAAGTGTGACTGTGCCCCTAGACCTTCTTTTGGTCAGAGACACGTAGTGGGGCTACCTGTGAGATCACTGCCATCTTCTCCCAAATCGAGAATTTACCTTTTTTATTTTTTCTTTGTTGTTGGTTGTGGGGCTTGAACTTTGGGCCTGAGCGCTGTCCCTCAGCTCTTCAGCTCAAGGCTAGCACTCTACCACTTGAGTCACAACACTATTTCCGGTTTTCTGGTGGTTTATTGGAGATAAGAGTCTCATGGACTCTCCTGCCTGGGCTGGCTTTGAACCACAATCCTCAGATCTCAGTCTCCTGAGTAGCTAGGATTATAGGTACGAGCCACTGTGGTACCCAGTCATTGTGTTCATTTTGTTCAAGATCTGAAACTGTTATGGTATGTTGAGGATTATGGGATTTAGTGTCTGAATCTGTGATATTTGAGTGTTTGTGTACCATTGGGTAGGTATAACTTTGAAAGGGTGACTTAACCTCAATGAGCCTCAGTCTTCTCTTCTATATGATGGGAATACCAATAACATCCAGCTCACGGAATTATTATGGAGATCAATGAGGTAAGTTACTGGAAAGGTTTTTGCTAATTGCCAAAGGAATACAAAAGAAAACTCGTGATATATAATTTTTATGATACTATAATACTGATGTGCTGCAGCAAAAGTTAAAATTTCACTAATTCAATGACCATTTATTGAACCTATTTGCTAGACTCTGGAAAAATAAAGCTGAGTGAAACATGGATTTGGTCCCCCAAGGTAGGAGTGGCCATTGTTTTTCCCTTTTCATGTTTTCACCAAGTGCTTCATTTATTTTCCACCCAAAATAAATATTGCATGTGATACCTCCTTCCAGTTCTATAACTGCTCTTTAGGCTTGGGCGCTTATCTCTTGCTTAGATTATTGCAGCAACCTCTACAGGGACCTTCTTGCCTTCTGGTTCTATGGTAGACCAACCTTCCCACCCAAACTCATCCTCTAAACAGCCTCCAAATTGGCCTATCTACATCATAGGCTTAACCATGACTTTCTTCTGTTGAAAATCTGTCATTGGCTTCTTGCTGCTGAAAGTGCTGAAAGATAAATACCATGTGTGTCAGTGGTTTGACACATGGCCATGATCCTTAACTCTTAACTTTGTCTCTTAAAAATTCCTTATTTGTCCTTTCTGAGTGGCATCGTCTGACTTACTCAGGCAGTGGACTGTTAATGCTGTTTGCACGAGATAAAAAAAATACTATCTGCCACCTCTTCTGCCTGTATGATTTATCTTTTAGGTTACTTGCTCTATTGGCCAAATTTCAACCTCTTGTCTTCAGGTTGAGTTGAGAAAAATGCTTAATAGTAATTCCTGACTTCAGTTGTTTATATAAGCTAAAGAGGTTTGATGTACTATTTCAAGAAAGATTATACCACTTGAATATGTCAGTAACAAAACTGGGTGAGATTACTCATTCTTCCACTAGCTTGCTGGCATACGTATCCAGTATTTGATGCATGGTGGGAAAACAAAAGTAAGTCTCATAATTTCTATTACAAATTCACAATATCAGTGATTTGGTATTTTCTGCCTACCTTGTGGGCACCTGTCAGACAGTCAATTTCAACTTCTGAACAAGCAGCTCCAAAAACGAAGTAAGGATAAATGTCACCTTCTCCTTTCTCCCAGTCCATGTGAGCTTCATAGCCCCTGAAAAGACAAAGTCCATTCTGTAGTCAGGTTTGTGGGACTTACAGGGAACCATCGTTAAGAATGGCTGAATGAGAGAAATGAGATTGGTTTAGCTATGCCACACGCCCAAAATGTCCTGCTCCTCAAGGTTCTACCTAGGACTTAGAGCAGAGAAGGGACATTGTCCCATCATGAGGAGTACAATCCATTCCACATTCAACAAAAGAGGTATTACTTTTAACTTGAAGCAAGAGTAAACATTGTGAAGCTATTCCATTATATGTCTGCAATTTTTTGGTCGGTCTTGGGGCCTAAACTCTGGGCCTGGGCACTGTCCCTCAGCTCTTCAGCTCAAAGCTAGCACTCTACCACGTGAGCCACTGTGCCACTTCCGGCTTTTTCTGCTTATGTGGTGCTGAGGAATCGAACCCAGGGCCGCATACATGCAAAGCAAGCACTCTACCACTGAGCCACCTTCCCAGCCTCTATGTCTGCATTTTTTAAATAACCAATATAATGTTGATGATTGCAATTGAATAATGGAAAAAATACAAAATAATCTGTTTCCTTCTTTCCTTCCTTCCTTCTTTCCTTCCTTCCTTCCTTCCTCCCTCCCTCCCTCCCTTCTGCTCTCTCTTTTGTGGCTTAAACAACAGAAATTTATTTTCTCACAACTCTGAGTAACAAAAACAAAGATCAAGGTGCCAGCAGGTTGTTCTGGGTTGGGTCTCTGTCTTCTCACACATAGTCTATTGCTATGTCCTCTCATAGTCTTTTCTTTGTGTTTATTCACCCCTGTTGTTTCTTTCTCTTCTTATAGGGACACTAGTCCTTTTGAATTAGGGATCACCTATATGATCTCAGTTAACCTTAGTTATCTTCTTAAAATCTCTCTAAATACAGTTCTATTTAGGGCTATGCTTTCAAACCATGAATTTTAAGGAGGCATAATTAAATCCACAACTTATTATAAACAAGATGCTAAAACTAAAGTCTTGATGGAACACAGATCACATACATACATATGTTATGTATTTACATATGCATTTATATGTATATACAAATATTTGTGTATATATGTATGCAAATATATGCACATATTCTATTACGTTATAGATATGAATAATACAGATTTTTTTTAACTTTGCTAAAAATGTAACTCATGGGACAGTCATGTTTATCATTCTTGTGATCTGTTGTTCCAAAATACACAGTCACAATATGAATGCTGATTATATTTTGGCTAAGTTCTAGCTTCTTGCCCAAGAATACATCTGGACCTGATCTAGCTTCCTGTCATAGCTGGTGTGGCAGGCTACATACTACTACTTCTTTTGAGACACAGTCTCATTGATTTTTCTGTTAGGGTTGGCCTAGAAATACAGTCCTCCCAATCTCAGCTTCTCGTGTTGGAATGATAGGCATGAGCCACTGTGCCTGGCTACGGACTAAAAAGGAGTCTTGCAAACTTTCCTGCCTAGTCTGGCCTTGAACGACACTTTTCTTGTTCCCAACCTCCAGGTAGCCAGGATTGCAAACATGAACTAATGGTTCCAGGACCACAGTAATTTTTTTTTTTGGTCGGTTGTGGGCCTGAACTCTGGGCCTAGGTGCTGTCCCATAGCTTTTCAGCTCAAGGCTAGATCTCTACCACTTGAGCCACATCACCACTTCTGGCTTCGTCTGCTTATATGGTGCTGAAGAATTGAGCCCAGAGCCTCATGCATGCAAGGCAAGCACCCTACCACTGAGCTACCTTCCCAGTCCCCCAGAGTAATTCTTAAGAGAGGATTCTGGCAGTTTCTACCAAAACCAATCAGAAATAAAACCATTTATGATCCTAGAAGGTAAATTGTTTAGCAATACCAATAAGACAGTAAGTTTTAAGGTAGTTTTAATTGCATATGTCAGAAACAGGTTAATGGAAAATATTTTGTTACTTGAACAAGGACATTGCAATAGAGGTCTATCCAAAGATAGCCATTGAGGGAGGGGATTCGGAAGTGAGGAGGCTGAGTGCATAGTAAAAAGGCAATTCAGACTTTGGGTACTAAAATATGGTGGGCAAAGGAAGCAGAATGATGAAACCATAGCTCAATGTAAGAGGTAAGAGAGGGCCTCTGTTTGCTGCTGTTCTTTGAGCAAGTGGAGCATATTTATAAGGGGAAGTTAATAAACTAGAGGAAATATGCAGAGAGAAAGAATAGCTGAAGGAGCTAAGGTGGTCCCAGGAGAGCCTGGAAGAAAGAAGACTAACAGGCAATGAAAAGGTCCACGTAAAAGGAAATAGGGGTTCTGTAGTGAGGCAGAGGTGGGAAGGAAAATGAAGTGGCAACGCAGACGACAGAGCATGAGGGGAGCAAAAAGGTGGGTGAGGCTTTTCTTTTTGCCTGTTGGTTCATTGCTGTTTCTTCAGCTTCCAGGGTAATGAGACCTCATGAACATTCATTAAATATCAATGAAGTGGGTAGAGCATGGAAACAGGTATTTGTATTAGGGAAAGAAATCAAGATCTGGGTTTTGATGATTTCTCTTAAATTTACTTCAAGATTTCAAGTAATTGCTTTCTCCTAAATTTACTTCAAGACTTCCTATAATAGTTTGGTTCCATTGATTTTGGCATTTTCTTCAATAGGATAAAGAAAGCTATACTGTCCATATAACACTCGGATAGATGGTAGGAGAAAGCCAAAAGTCAACAAAAGGAGATTATTTCACAGTCCTTGTTTAGATCTTCAGCTGTTGGGCCAGTTCATGGATGCATTTCTCTCTACTTCCTGGTCTCCCTCTTTGTAATGATTTCCATCCTTTATATCCTCCCACACAGTAGTATCTTTGCCTTCCATGGTCTTGACATGTCATCAGTGGATGTTGGGCCCTTTTAGTTTTAGTTACCTAAATTCACATTCTTTCTCTGAACTACTGGCATTATAGATGACCTCCAGACCCACCTTATCTACTCACCCTACCACTGATGGGAACTGTGTCTTTATAGGCATCAGGATGCAATATTGCCCTCCCTGAGAGATGGGCCAGGCTTGTGTATTCTTATGTGCTAAGAAGGGAGTTTGCTTTTTGTTTGTTTGTAAAACCTCTCTGTTGCAAATTCCCTTCTTCTGATGAACTTTGCTTCATTCCTCACACAATTTGTTTGGACTTCATCTTTGGCTTAACTAATAGCTCTAATAACTGAACATCCATTTGTCAAGAGTAGAGAGCTGTCATTTTATTCAATGCACAGTATATAAACATTGAACTGCATAACTTGAGAGTAGGGATGAGAGGAGGACTAATTTGGGAGAAGGGGTGACATTGATCAAGATGTATTGTACCCATAACCTGGTTTATGAAATTGTAACCTCTTTATACAACTACTTAACAATAATTTTAAAAAAACAGTGCTGAATAATACCAGGCAGCCCTAAAAGCTTTACAAAAAATCCCTTCACTTTGAGCTGTCCACATTTTGTAAAGGACCACTAATATGAAATTTGTAACCTGGTAGCTGCTTTATGAGTAATAAGTCATATAGGAAGTTATTGATCTACCTTCCTGTCATGACATAATACCTCCCTCTCTTTCAATAAAAATAAAATAAGCAATAATAGGCTTAATATTGAAAATGTAAACAACCAAGCACACCTTTCCAAAGATCCTTGTCTGTTCTTAGAGCAAATAACTTTAGGACAACACCAGATACTCCTTACCTGAAATATCCAGTGGCAGAGAGACTAATACTTTGAGTAAAAGCTTCATTGACCTGTAAAAGAAGAATAATATTCAAGGAGAAATATACAACTGGACAAAAAGAAGAAAAACACAGGGGTGATGAGTGGATTGTCCCCAGGGGGTTCTGATACATGCGCTGTGAAGTCTGATTGGCTTGTCTGGCTTCCCTGAGGAGATGAAGTCACTGTGTAGGTGGATCAATTTACAGAACAAATGGAGAGGCAAAGAAAATAAATGTCTGTGGCAGAAGTCTAAATTCAGCTCCCCAGGCAAAGTCTGACAAAGGATCTCCATCTTCCTTTCCCCATCCCCAGGGAAGTGGGCTGGTGCTAGAGCTACAGCTATGGTCAGAACCATGAGAAGAGGTAACTTGGTTGGATCAATGAAGAAGCACTGTCCTTTTGCTCCATCTATCACTGCTCCCTATAGGTTTCCCATGAAACTTCAAAATCACTTTCCCATAGCACCAATTAAGCACTCACAGAGCTTTGTAGAAACCCTGGCCCCATAATTTCTTACCTGGGTCATGTTCAGATATGAAACCTTTTCTCTGAAAGAAAAGCAACAACTAACCCTGAAGAATTCTTATCCGATTTTTTTCCCCATGAAAGCTTGAAATACATATATCAAATTATATTTGGGGCCTTCACTGAAGATACTCTTTTCAAAACTTTCTAACACTGAAGCAAGAACTCCTCTTAAATGTATTGCTTTTCTTCTGTTCATATTGCTAGAAGTGAACTAGATGGCACAGGCTTTACCTTCGTTAGTAATAAATCAGCTATTGGTGCATTTACCTAAGAGCAGCATTTACCTAAGAACAGCATTCTCAGGTAAACCAGTTTTCTGTCCAATAAGAGTGGGTTGCAAGGTGCATTGTGGGTCTACAGCTGCTTTTTATTGTCTTGCTGGTATAAGTAGCAGTATAGTGCTACTTGGGAACTTTATGGAAATTCAGCATCTGAGGCTTACCCCAACCCTACCAAATCAGAATCTGAGGTTTAATAAGATGCACAGATGTTCTGTCTGTCCCTTGAGGATAGAGAGGCACTCACTGCCTTGTGCTGGACAAGGAGGAAGAAGTCAGGCAGGATGCACCACACCAAGCATTGCTTCTACCAAGTGATTCTAAGGAACTCTGTAGGCTTCAGCCATATCCACTCACCCACTCTTCCCAGGTGCCATTAGGGTTCTGGCTGATAATGGGTTCCAGGCGTTTCCTGAGGGTCTGACAGGCATTCTGCAAATCGGGCAGGACATAGAGCAAGAGAGGGTTAGAAGGTGAGGACTAACAAATATCACTTTCTCACTCTATATCAATCATCATGTCCCCCTTGCCCCTCAGATAGCTCCCATTTGGGTTGTCTCCACATCTGGACAGGGGTCAGGCCCTGGTGCCCTCTGTAGGAGTGGTACTAAGGGTAGAGTGTTGGTAGCCCCTGAGAAAAGAAACCAAGGGAACCCACAAAGAGTGCAAACTCTACTTGCCAATTAGACAAAACAACTCCATTTTTATTTGTTTTTTTTTATGTCAGAGTTTCATGTAAAATGTTTTTGCCAAAGATTAAACAAAACTACAACCACCACTGCCCATGGCAGAGAATGTAAGAGATGTTCCAAGCTCAGGCACAGCAAAAGGCAGCCTGGTGTAGAGAAGTGTGGAGTTTCGAATTGGAGATCCCTGGGTCAAATAACTCTGCTTCTTCTCACAATTTTTTTCTTTTTTCTTTTTGTACATTTTTTTATTGTAAAAATGCTGTACAGAGGGGTTACAGTTACATGAGCAAGGTCATGAGTACATTTCCTATGGAGCATTGTTGCCTCCTCTGTTTTCCCCCTGCCGTCCCTTCCCTCCACACCTCCACAGCTACATCCCTCCCCACCCCCACCGGCGAAGTGAAGTTCGTTTTCAACATAGTGTCTTGTACATCTCATTGTTACTGTGGGTCAACTTGTGACTTGTACTCCTCACACCTTGGAAATTTCATTTGTTACTTGAAGATACTAGCACTAGGTGAGCACATCCTCTAATTTTCTCAGGCCAATCCCATGAAAATTTGCTATCTTTGTGTTAACAGCAATGACTCTTTTATTATTATTATTATTATTGTTGTTGTTATTATTGCTTTCCAAAGTGTCTTGGTTTGACATTGTCACTAAAAATAAAACCTGCCTGGAAAGGTTGTTTTACGTATCAAATAAGTAGCCACAGCTCTCGCTTTTCTCTATTACTTCATTCTGGAAGTATTCATTAAAGTTGTGTGGAAGAAGAGTCTGGAGCCCAAATGGCTACAGAGCCTTTAAGTTACTCTTGCCATTAGTATCAAGCTCAGCTGATCAAACCAAGGAAATCTGTTGGCTTTCAAAGTGGGCACTGAACTTGCCCTCTTCCAGATAGTAGTCCTTTGGCTCATGAAAACTTCTGCCCTCACCAGGTGCTAGTGGCTCATGCCTGTAATGGTAGCTACTCTGGAGGCTAAGAGCTGAGGATCACAGTTTGAAGTCAGCCTGGGCAGTTACAATGTGTTTGGGGGGGTGGGGGGGGAGGTGGGGAGGTAGGGAGGGAAGTGATGGTAGGGGGAAAATAGAGGAGGAGGTAACAATGCTCGCTATGAAATGTACTCATTACCCTACTCATGTAACTGTAACCCCTCTGTACAACATTTTTACAATAAAAAAAAGTCAATGTAACTCTTATCTCCAATTAGCCAACAAAAAGCCAGAAGTGGAGCTGTGGCTCATGTGGTAGAGGTCCAGCCTTGAGTGATAAAACTAAGGGACAGCACTGAAGCCATGAGTTAAAGCCTCAGTAGTAGGACACACACACACACACACACACACACACACACACACACACACACGACTTCTGTTCTCTGTCTTGGTAAGAAGGCATCTGTGATGGTCTTTGCTGTCATGTCAGGAGGTCTTTTCTATAGAGACTTATCACATTGTCTTACTCATGGATAGTAAAATGGCAAGTTTGCAGAAGTGGAACCAATTACATTCAAAGACTGCAAAGAGATGCCTCATTGGTCTCACACAGAGCTCAAGATACAGCAATCTCATCTGAGGATTCTCCCTAAGCCCTGCCTTCTATGAGGGCTCCTACCAGCCAGGGAAGGAAGAAAGACTGGCTCATACACTCCACACTTCAGATGAGGCTTCGAGAAAATAGGTAACGTTGCCTATCTTTGTGAAATTAGTCTTAGGAGTTCTTAAAGTAAATTAAGGAAAAATAGAATTTATGCTGTTAAAATAACACTCCGGTGCCCACTCTGTTGGGTGCCACAGAAAAATACTAAGAGATGGTGTTTTACCATGTTCTTTCCAAAACCCATGAAAAAGCAGCAGGAGTCTTTCTCCAGGGCTCCATGGGAAAAAAGGTCTGGGGACACACAGAAGGCTAGGAGCTGTGAATCAATACCTGCACAGCCTTTCCATTGACATCTGCCCCAGTGGATGCTGCCGTGGCAATTGTGTTGGGCACAGTCATGGTGTTCATCTCGCCAAGGTGTATGTAAGACATTGGGAGCTGTAACTCACGGCTGGCCACCTGCCCAGGAAAGTAGACACATGGATGTACTGGTTCAGAGTAATAATTTAAGCCTGCTAAGTTTGTTCTGTTTTATAAAGTGATAAGGAGATTTCACCATCTATAGTTTGGATAGACATAGTCAAGTCAAATTTGTAAAGAATTTAAAAATCTTTCTCTCAACTCTAAGGCCTCTCAAGTGTTAGGGGTTAGGAAAATATTCTTTGATGTCACATGGCAGGGTTGAAGGAGGTTTTTCCTGAGAGAGGAGAGCCATCAAAAACAAAGCATAATCACCCACAGAGAGGCCTGCTGGATGGATGGCTTGGGTCCATGGCCTGGAGGAAGGACCCAGATTTATTACAGGTGCAGTATTGGAGAAGGAAACAGCACCGGGAAGTGTGAATTCACTGTGTTGATTAGGTACAGGAATTATCGGAGAACACTGGCTGCCAGCAACTGAGCTTCAGAGCCCAGGAGAAATTCTAGCTGTTGCATTCAAAAGAAAGGAGCTGCTCACTGATCTCCTGGGAAGCTAACTTTTGGTGAAACCTCTCTTACTAAAGAAGGGAGGAAAAGCCTTCTTCTTGAGTCCCAGCCGGCTCATTTCCACATAATCCCAAATAGGCAACAGTGTGGGCATCTGATCATTGCCTCACAAAGCCTAGAATCTGGTCAATATTTTCTACAGCCTAATTTTGGCTGACTGTAAAATGGAAACAATCTCTCTCACCTGTATCATTTTGGTGTTAATACCTTGTCCCAGTTCGACTCCACCATGAGCAACTAATACAGACCCATCTGTGTAGACGTGAACCAGAGCAGCAGCCTGAAAATAAAACCAGAAATCACTTAACCCTGCCATCTGGACTTGATTTTTTTTGTGTGTGTGATGTTGGAGGTAGAACCCATGACTTTACACATCTTCAGCCCTGTATTTGAACGTTTAATAGTTAAGCAGTCACAAATGAAGTCGCTAAAGCTCCTGAAAGCCACAATTTCACTCTTATAGGATCAATGGTTTCATCAAAATGTGTGTGCTGCCTATATAGAGTGAAGACCCTGTTCTATGAGAACTGTGAAGAAATGTAACCGTGCCCTGTCACATGGCCCTCTACCATCTTCAACAGCCTTAACTAGCTACACTTTGCATGCCTGCTGGGCCTCCACCCCATCTGTGAGTCTATTCAAAGTGTAAAGTTCAGTTCAACAAGTAGAGCTGACTACTCTGTGAGGCATTAACAAACGGACCCATAATACAAAGATCCAGGACAACCTAGAGTGCTCCATGTTTTGTTGGGTTATGGGCTTTCTTGGCCATCACTGGTCACTTGGAGATGGACATCCTATCTCATTGAATAATTTTTCTTTGCTTCATTTTTTTACATCTGGGGAGTAAAATGACATGCAGAGAACTAGGATAAAATACAAGAATAATACAAAGAATAGAAAACAAAATCTCACCTCTCCACAGCCTTATTGTGGACATACTATGTGGCTATAAGGAAAACTGATAAATGTGAGTCCACAGACTTTTACCTACAATTCTCAACTCAAAAATTATTTTAAAAAGTATGTTTGGTAGGGAAACGTAATCTTATTTCACCCAAGGAGGTGAGGTACATAATTTTAAAAAATCTGTCAGGTAGGCACCAGTGGCTCACACCTCTAATCCTAGCTACTTAGGAGGCTGAATCTGAGGATTGTGTTAGAAGCCAGCCCAGGTAGGAAAGTCTATGAAATTCTTATCTCCACTTAACTACCAAAAAGCTGGAAGCAGAGCTGTGATTCATGTTGTAGAGCACAAGCTGTGGGCAAAAATGTTCAGGAACAGTGCCCAGACCCTGAGTTCAAGCTCCAGGACAGGAATGCATATGCGTTATCTCTCTCTCTCTCTCTCTCTCTTACACACACACACACACACACACACACACACAAAATCACTACTGATATAGTGATTCAGGTATAGTGATGGTTATCTACAATCCTAGTGTTCAGGAGGTTGAGGTAGGAGGATCTAGAGTTGAGACTAGCTTGTGACACACAGCAAGACTTTTGTCTCCAAAATACAGAAAGAAAACCGTACAAAATTTTACTTAGTTTGAACAATCATGTACTTCACAGAAGACATATGACTGTTCTGTTGGTATATCGCTGGACACTGCCTATGATTATAATAAATAGTCTACAGTGCATGGTCTTTTACATTTGGTCTCAGAGGTTTCATAGGAGGGATAATAAACATGTGCATGTGTCTAGTTAAGAACTCAAACACTCAGAAAGGTACAACTTAAGGAGTGACTGTTCTTCCTGTATGGCTAGGTATGTTGAACATTTCTTTATGTATTTATTGGCCTTTTGTACTTGTTATTAGCTGGGTCATAGAATTTTTAAGACTTAGGGTTTGAGTTTGTTGTATATTCTGGTTGTTTGGCCCTTGTTAAATGTATAGCTGGCAAAGCTCTTGCCCATTCTAAAAGCTACTTTGTTGTTATGTTTTTGTTTTTGTTTTTTATTTTCTATCTCGGAGCCTGAACTCTGGGCCTGGGCGCTGTCCCTCAGCTCTTCAGCTAAAGGCTAGTGTTCTACCACTTCAGCCACAGTACCTCTTCTGGCCTTTTCTGCTTATGTGGTGCTGAGGAATGGAACCCAGGGCCTCATGCATACAAGGCAAGCAAGTCTACCACGGAGCCACCTTCCCGGCTCCCTTTTTAGTTTTATGATTACATCTTTTGCTATGCAGAAGCTTTTTAGCTTGATACAATTCTATTTATCAATTCTCTCTCTTATTTGCTGTGCCTTTGGAATTCTGTTCAGGAAGTTTCTTTCCTATGCCAATAATTCCAGTGTTTAATCTTTCCTATAGTAGTTTTAAGGTTTAAAATCTTACATGAGGTCTTTGAATCACTTTGAATCGATATTAGTACAAGATGAGAGTCAGGGATCCAGTTTCAGTCTTCTGCATATAAATATAGTTTTCCCAGCAACATTTGTTGAAGAGGTTATCTTTTTTCCCAACATTTATTTTTAGCTACATAGTAAAAAATATCGGATGGCTGTGGGTATGTGGGTTCATTTCTTGGTTTTCGGTTCTGTTCCATTGGTCTTCAGGGCTGCTTTTTTTGTTGGTAACAGCTGCTTTTGTTACTATGGCTCTGTAGTATAGTTTGAAAACTGTAATTGTGATTATTCCTTGCTTTTTTTTTGCACAGAATTGCTTTGGCTATTTGGGGCCTTTTGTGCTTCCATATGTATTTTGGGATTGATTTCTCATCTCTGAGAAGAATGACATTGGGCTTTTTATGAGTATTGTTTGAATTTGTAGAATTTTGACAGTGTGGACAATTTTATGACAGTAATAAGTACGATAATAAGTATATACTAGAGATAATTCCAAAGCAAGGCCTATTTCCCTCCCTCCCTCCCTTCCTTCCTTCCTTCCTTCCTTCCTTCCTTCCTTCCTTTTCTTTCATTGCTTCTACTGGGTTTAAATTCAGAGCTTCATGCATAATTATGGTGCTTGGAGGGTACTCTACCTCTTGAGCTACATGCTGTACACCCTTACCCCTTGCACCCCAGTCTGGCTTATAACTGGTGGCCTCAGAGATGGAGTTCGCAAGACTTTTCTGCCCAGGCTGTCTTTCAACTGTGATTTTCTGGATCTCAGCCTCCTGATTAATTAGCATAAGCTTGCTCCACCAGCCCTTGGTACAATAACGTTATTTTCACTGAGAAAACAATAGCTACCTGTATAAATACTTTTTAGCAATATTCTCTGAAAGGAGGTGTATACACAACCACCTGTGTGGTTAGGAGTAAATGATGCTTGGAGTCTCCTTATCTCATGGGGTTGTCTGTAGTGTCACAGTTTCCTGAACTAGGTAACATAGAGATTTAGGCATTACCTCTAGAAATCCCTCATTAAAATACCCTTTACCCGGCTGTTAACATTTATGACCTCAGCTTAGATGTTAGAAAGAACAGAGAAGTAAAATTGTGGACAGGTTGCTAGAGGTTAGAGATGAGGGTCAGGAGAGAGGTTATTAGGAATGTTCTGGGAGACAGGACATATCAGATAAGCAATTGGACATTGTGTATACACATATATGTGTATTTACTATATAGATAGGATATATACATATATCAAACTTAATATACATTTGAATTTTAAAAAGGTGATTTTCTCTGAGCTTTCTGATAGCAACTTTTTGGTGTCATCAATCACCTGAAAAAATTTATTTACAAAGAAATGTTTCCGCAACAATGAGAAGTACAAGTTGTCATGTCGAAAACATGGGGGGGGGGGGGAGGGGAGGGTTGTTGGGTGGGGAGGGGGGAGTCTGGGAAGGGATGTGAAGGGTAAACAAAGGAGGTGGCTGCAATGCTTGATAAGAAATGTACTCATTATCTTGCCCATGTAATTGTAACCCCTCTGTACAGTATGTTCACAAAAAATAAAAATAAAAATTAAAAAAAAGAAATGTTTCCAAATCACCTGTTGGCAAAGTGCAAATAGAGCAATAAAATTGCTGAAGGTGACGCATGGCCTCCCTGGCTGGCCGCTTAATGTACTCTTTCCCAGAGCTCATGGGAAGTGGTTGCTACAAGCAATAGTAGTCTTGGCTTCTAGACAAGGAGCCCAGGAAGGTTCAGTGTAGCAATATATACATATGTGCACCTGTTTTACTTCAAATGTAATCCTACAAAACTCAATTCTTGTAAAATGGTATTTATTAAAATCCCACTAACAGGTACTTAGGACTTTAAGTAACAAGTACTTAGGACCTTTTTTATTTTTCCAGAAAAGTACTGACCCTCATCTGAGCCTGCAAATGTCCAGGGGGTAACTAACTAAAAGCAGGATAAAAGCTTGCTATTCCTGCATCTATTTTACAGCTGTCTTCTTTGCTCTGAGTCTCTCTCCTACATTCACTATGGAATCCAGGAAGGACAGGCCTAATTGATAACATCTTGTGACAACAGTTGAAATTTCACCCCAGCAACAATGACTTTCTTATCTGCATTGCTCCCTTTGGGACACTTTGATAATGATTAGCCAAACTCTACTTTTGCTGGAACTGTTTAAGAATTACATATGCCTCTCACCCTTTACCCCAACCTTATCTAAACTGTGCCTCTTCCTGCAAGGTGCCTAGCCACACAAGGAATGTCCTTCTCTGCTCTTAACTACTACTAATCTCTTTATTTGGTGTATTATGGCCAGACCTGGCCTGTGGAATCCCAGAATTGGATCTCTGGCCTAGAACTACTCATTACAATACTTTTAGGGGACCTGTCTTTGCCTAAACTTGGTGGTACTGATTTTGAAACTCTTAGTAGCTTCTGGCTATTTCTGTAGTCCACAGGTGAAATATTTGGAAAATTGACAGACACCAATAAGGAACCATTGGCAGACCTGTTGAGGTTTCTGTATATAATAATCAGTGATTCCTTTGTGTTGGAAAACTATATAGACCCTGTTTTTTCCTAGAACTTGCAGAGCAATTTTAAGAAAGCAAAGAAAGACCCAACATTCACAGGAATTCTTCCACTTCTTAATCATGTAACAGTGTATTCACCCATCTATTATTCACCCATCCATCCTCCCATCTATCCATCAATTCATCCTTCTTTCTTTGCACATTTCTGTGACTTGTGCTAGGCTGGGCAGTAAATGAATGACCATGACAAGGGGCTCTCTTGCAAGGACTCCCTACAGAGAAATCAATAATTTCAGCATAGTGTCATCATAAGAATTAAGAATCAAGGGTAGGCATTGAGCATAAGAAGTTGTTTCCAGGATTAATGTTCAAGGGTTACATAAAAGCATAATAAATGTTAAATGAGATTGTGATTTAAAGAAATCTTCAAATGATCTATAAATTAGATCTGTGGTATTTGCCTTGCAGACAATGATTTTACAATGAGCTTTCTGTCCTACTATGCTCAGAACTTTTGTTCAAGGCTACTTGTAATGTAATATGCTGTTCCGGCAAACCAGCACATGTGAAAATGTACATCTGTTACAGAAACTCTACCTGCTAATCAAACTGTCCTTCAGAGTTTAAGCCAAATGAAGAGCTTCCCAAATGTCACCCTGACCTTGCCAGAAATGATTGTCTAAGAATTAGGAGTTGTTAAGCAACATAATTGTGTATCTGCCAAGATCATACAGATAGAAACCTCAGTTTTGAGACTTTAACTTCCATCTCCTTCATGGGAAACAGGAGATATTTCTCCCTACTTTATCCTGCCATACTAAAATAAATTCTTAGTAAAACTTTTACTTTATGACACTCTCCTTTTCATGAGAGCCCTTGCAATGATTTCCATATGTATATCTGAAAGACCTGTGATCTCGCACAGAAACTGAGAAGCTGAGGGAAAAAACCTTCATCCAGTATCAGTACCACAATGTCTAGAGTTCTCAAGGCATTCTCTAAAGGTTAGTACCAGAAGAGGTTTCACTATAAGCTCTTGAATTTTTTCAGACTTAGAAACATTTCTAAAAATTACCTGATAATAAAATGTCTTTGGAAATCCAACTGAGAATTTCATGGGGATAATGGAAATTCCTCTCTTCTTCCAAAAACTCTGTTGGTTAAATTCCTCTACAGCTTTCCTTCTGCTTGAGTATGAAGAATTTTCCATACATTTGTGCCAGCATTTTATCAGATTCTTTGGATCAAACTCTTGCTTGTGAATTGTCTTATCAATTGTTTTGTACATATTTAACTCTCTAACCTGGTAGATTAAAAACAAAAACTTCACAACAGAAGCTGCAGGGAGTGGAGTCAGTGTGAAAATAAGCAATTAAGGCACAATATTACTTTTGGAATTGAGAACGTCTTGTACAACTACTTTAAAAGAGAGACAGTGTCAGCCAGGAGCCAGTGGCTTACACCTAAATCCTAGCTACTCAGAAGGCTGAGATCAGAGAATCTTCATCTGAAGCCAGTCCCAGGGAGAAAAGTCCTTGACACTCTATGTCCCATTAACCAGTAAAAATGCCAGACTGGAGGTGCGGCTCATGTGGTAGAGAAGCAGCTGTGAGCAAGTACTCTGAGAGCCCAAGGCCCAGAATTCAGTTCCAGAACAACAAAGGAAGGAAGGAAGAAAAGGGAAGGGAAGGAAAAGAAAAAGAAGGGAAGAGAGGAGAAAGAAGAGAAAAGAAGAGAAGAGACAATGAATGTGCTCCTATGTATTTAAAGACTGTTTTTGATCATCAGTTCATGTTACCGTCTCTGGTGGCAAGTGGCATTTAGATGCTACTGCTGTCATCCAGGTCTCTGTTACAAATGCTCCTTGTGGAAAACCAAACCCTCGGAAGGCTGTATTGGATGGTAAATTGGTCTTGCAAGCTCTGCCTCTCACTCGCAGGTTTGGGATCTTATAAGCATTTTCCATTTTGAGCAAGGCATATTCTATTACCTGAAAAGTGTTCCAAGGTAACAAGTACATTCACGTAATGAAATAAGGAGACATGGATCAAATTGTTCATCCAGATGAGAGAAATGTCAGCCCTACAGGGATGTTACTTCTCAATTTAATTCTTAGCCTCATCATTGTGAAGAATCTCAGAGTTTCTTGACTATCTACTTGAGTGACCATCTACTTAACTTTAAATTACATGCATTCTACTTAACCATTCATGTATCCATAATTATATGCATAAATAAAAGACATTTCTGAGGACTGAGGTATAGTTCAGTGCACTTAGCATATGTCAGACCTTTGGCTCAATCTCCAACACAAAAAGGAAAACAAAAACATTTTTGTACTTTATGTTTTGCACATGGTAGAAATGGAAACTGCTTAATGTTAGCTTAAAATTTTTTTTCTGATACCCTTAAGATGTCATGAGTAGTACGTACAATGATATTACTGCATTTTCCCTTTAGTCTGAAGCCTTCAACTTCTTTAATATTTCCTGAAATCTTTTCCATCTCCCTCCCTAAATACTTAAAACATGAAATCTCAGCAAAGCCCAAGGTTTCTGATAATGATCTGATAAAATGCTAGATTTCTGTATCTGAAGATTCAACCAACCTCAGACCAAAAACAGTAAAAAAAAAAAAAATTGTATCTGTGCTCAGCACATGTAGACATTTCTTTCATTTATTGCTCATTGCTTCCTATACAATATAGTATTACACCTATTTACATAATATTTATATTACTTTAGGTTTGAAAAAGAATCTAGAAATGACTTAAAGTATAGAGAAGCTATGAATAGGTTAAGTGCAAAAACCATGACATTTTAAGTAAGGAATTTGACCATCTGCTAATCTTGGAATCTACAGTTGAACCAGTCCACCTTGGGTAAGAAAGGGCACACCAATATTTCAGCATGGTCGTAGATGGTGGCATCCTGAGTTACTGAATCTTTCTATAAACAGATAGGAAAGAACAGCTTTCCAGATAGGTCATCATTCCTAGGTTTTTGTGGAGGTGAGGCCAACAACTGTTTGCTTGGTCTGCGGGAGCTTCCTCTTCCAAGCACAATAACAATATTTTATGTTGAGCCAGAATCCGTTTGTTTTAAGAGTAGAAACAAGTAGCTTTACAAGGCATAGGAATTTCATAAATGTTCTCAAGAGGAGCAGACTATGAATTTTATCCGAGGGCTCATTAGGAAGCAAAGGCATTGAGCAGATAGGAAAAAAAAGATACAAGATTGGAAGCTTCTAGAACAGATAGAAACATTGATTGAGAATAGGGGGGTAAAAACCAAATAGGATGAGGATGTCCTCTTGTCTATTGTTAAAGGATTAGACTGTGAGTGAAATGGCCCTGGGATTTTTGGAACGGGAGGCATTGTAGTGGTAGCTGGGCCTAGGTAAAGTTGTCTCTTTCTTTTTAAATTTCCATAAGGAGAATTAAGACACATCAATCTTAGCCAACTTTTACAAAGTAACATCATCAATGAAGACAGACTCAATATACTTAAAGCTCCCTGTTCAAAAAGGGATTTGTGAAGCTAGGGAAAAGATTTCCCAGAAGAGATTTGCCTGAGACAGGCCCGATGCCCTGCCCTTCTTCCAGAAGCCAAGTGTGTTCTTCCCTGACACACCCCATCCGCCTTTCCCAGGGGAATGGTGATGTTAGGAAGGGAGGAGGAATGAAGAACCTAACTGTGTGCATGGAAGTTTTCTTGGGGTAGGGGCAATCTATGGAATTCACTGAAGTGAGCATTGGATGGTCTTCTTATCAGAAGGTCTTAGAGTTACACAGGGGCCAAAGCTCCCTCACAGACAGACAGAGGTGGAGATCCAGAAGCATTTGAGTCATCAAAATTACTTATAGTTTATATTCTGTGCCAAACAGGTGTGGGCTCACATGAAAATTTATCCACCTCATCACAACAAAACCAGAATCCCAGGTATTATGAAAGTTACATACCAGTTCAGAATCATCTGGTGTGCATCCTCCATTAATGTGATAGTCAATGTCGGCAGCCTTGATTTTCCCATTGTTCATAAAGCCAATCTATGATCAGAGAACAACATTTATACTACCTGTGAGGTGGGAGTGCACCTCCTGAGCATCCTGAGCAGTGAATTGGCACAAGTGCTGGATTGTAGTTCTCACAAAGACCAGCAAGTGTGACTGGAGAGTGAGCCTTCCTAAGCTGACCCTGGGAATTCTACCATTTGCACTGGGCTGCCTTTGCAATCAACCTTTCTAGGCCTTTCTATCCTCGTGTGTAACCATGGGGACAACACTGTCACCTAACCCTATGATTCTCAAAGCTTCATGTATATTAGCCACGGGGAAGCTTGGTAAAGCAAAAGTTACTAGGCTGCACCTGCCAGTGTTTGATTCCATAGCTATTGGATTTTCCTCTCCACTCACCTTGTATTTCCCCAGCAGTGGGTGGCGACCACCAGTGATCAACATGTCATCCCCACGTTCCAGCACAAAGCGAACTGGGCAGCCAGTTCTAGAGAGAAATTGAAATTACAATTTTAAGTGATTTGAGATTTGAATTCAGGATTATGGAATGTTCTACAAAACATTGGCTCCCATCTACCAGACAACAAAGAATCAGAGAACAGGTACTCTGAAAAGAGAAGGAAGATGTGGGTTTCTTTATTTTTCACAACCAATGAGGCAGCCAGGAAGCTATCTGTTCAAGAATCTACCTATTTAAGAAATTCCTTTCCTATTGTTCTTAGTAGTCATGGTGGAGTATTTGTGGGGGGAAGGAGGGTGAGGCTAACTCACAGTCTTATTTTAAGAGTTTTGTTTTTAATTAATTAATTAATATTTTATTTTTATCTTTGCTTGAACTCAGACCCTGGGAGCTATTATTGACCTGACCTTTTTCAGCTTGAGGCTAGTGTTCTAACACTTGAGTCATAGCTCCACTTTGGGCTTTTTGGTCATCAATTGGAGATAACCATTTCGCAGACTTTCCTGCCCCAGCTGGAAGTGAACCATAATCCTCTGATATCAGCCTCCTGAGCTCCTGAGTACTGAGGATTACGGGTGTGAGCCCTCGGGCTAAGGGTTTATTTATTTATTTTTGGGTCCAGTCGTGGGGCCTGAACTCTGGGCCTGGGCGCTGTCTCTCAGCTCTTCAGCTCAAGGTTAGTGCTCTACCACTTGAGCTACAGCACCACTTCCAGCTTTTTTCTTTTTGCTTATGTGGTGCTGGGGAATCGAACCCAGGGCCTCATGCATGCAAGGCAAGCTCTCTACCACTGAGCCACCTTCCCAGCCCTAAGAGTTTACTTTTTAAGTGTGGTTTTCCCCATTCACAAGGGGAAAATCTGAGTGGATTTTCCCTTCAATCCAATTTTGGAATTTAAAAAAACCTCTGAAGTTTGATGTTTGGGTTTCTTTTATTAGTATCTTTTTATTAGTATCTTTTATGGCTACTTCATTTGTATTAGGGGCAGCAATGATTTCTTAATCTGAAAGTTTAAAGTCTTCATTTCTTACATTTGTCATGAAAATACCAATTCATGTTAAATCCTCCCATTTATTTCTTCTATCACATTTCTGAGATCTAGCTTTCTTCTTTCAAAAAGAATCCCCCTGTCTGAGCTTGAATTTCATCATATTCAAATGACAGCAGCTGTTGGAATTCCAGAATCTCCTCTGGTTATCTCACTTTTACACCTAGGAGAAAAACAAAAATCTCCAAAGAAAACACCACTTAGGTCATGATTGCTATGCTTAGGTCATGATTGCTAACATCCCTCAGTGTAGTGTAGTGACCCAACTTTTCCTTTTTTCAGTGTTTCCCTGAAGGATATCTAATATATTACACTCTTATCATAAGCACTAGATGAACTATGGTTGGGATTACTAAAATTCATAATATGTCTTGTGTCTTTGTTATTATGTGTGTTTCTAAAATGTGAGTGTGTGTATGTGTGTGTGTGTGTATGTGTGCGCATGTGTAACAGTTCATAATCCTGGGGTACTCTCCTAGATGCTTAGATATATGAAAACATGATGTCTAGTTTGCTTTAAAGAAGAAGAATTTATGATCTGATCTATCCAGTATTGTATTAGTATTCTTTACTAGCTGTGTGCTTCAGTAATGGCTATAAATATTTTATTTTTTGAATAGGTAATGCATGCACAATTCACAGATTTCAAAAAGGATGCTCAGTGCAAAGTATTTCTTCTGCTCTCATCCCCAGCCAGTTCTTCAGGAAACACAACTGTCAGCAGTTTCTTGAGAGTCCTTATAAACATATTAAAATTTTAATGTGCAACCAGGTGTGTCTTCCTTTCAGAAATAATAAGCCATCTGTGAATAAAATCTTATTCTTCTTTTTATGTGTGTGTGTGGTTTTTCTTTTGGCCTGACTCCATCTCTATGGACTTTCATTCATATCTTAATGAATACAGTTGATAAATCACGTTGTCAGTTTCATTTATTACTTCCTTTACTGGTGAGAGACAGGGAGGATTTTCAGCTAAAGATACAGGAAGTACATTAGATGAGACCCACACTGCCAACTCAGCTGGAAATCACAAAGGCAAAAGTGCCCCACTCTGTGCCCTCCCCATGGGGCTTGGTAATTAGGCCTGACTCAGCAGACTCTTGGCCTTTCTCCTCTTGTGGCTTTTAGAAGTGCCTTGGATTTACGAGGAACGAACTGCTAAGTAACTGTGGCTCACAGATCCACTCACTTGTGTGCTGCCACAGCTGCCACTGCTGCCAGAAGTCCAGACTTGCTTGCTTTTCCTCCGAAGGCCCCACCAACCCTTTTCACATGGCAGTTGATCCTGTTCTTTTGAATGCCCAAGGTACAAGCCACCATGTCCTTGAGTCCGGGATTGGTTCCAGGTTCCCCAAAAGGTTACACAGAAAAGACATGATAAGTAAGAGGTTCATTCACTGATAAAACAATGTCCTCTCATACTCCTATTGTCCTGTATAAAATATATTTATCTATTGAAAAGCTATAGATGCCTTTAATGGCTCAATTGAAGGAATAAACTGATATTGCTTTTGAAAACAAACTCATGATAGATGATATTCCAAAATGACCACACTTAGCTCTTTATTCTTCTCTGCCTCAGCCACTCCAACAGTCCTGCAAAGGGCTGCCCTAGATTCCCTACTCTTAGATGTTGGCATTAATACTAGCAGAATGGACAGAAAAAACTATGTGCCATCCAGAAAGAAATAATGGAAAAGGTCTTCAGTTATTTAGCAGTCCATGGAACATGAAGATAAATCTTGGCTTACTGTGAGTCAAGGGAGGGTCTGAAATGGAGGAACTGGGCTGGGAGTGTGTTGGTAATAACCTAGGCTGCAGCAGGTACAAGTGAGGCAGAGTGGTAGAAAGTTTAAAAAAAGGCAACTCTCATTCTTTACATGGTATATGTTGCTGCTCAGCAGAGGATCTATATTTAACTCAGACATCCATATTTAATTTAGATGTCAGGAAATGATTTCCTGCCCCTCTGGGCAGGAATAGCTATCCTCATATCCCACAAAGTAGACTTCAAATAAAAAACAGTCAGAGTAGACAAGGAAGGTAATTTTATATTAATAAATCAAGAAGACACAACAATTCTTAACATCTATGTACCAAATGTCTGGGCACCCAACTCAGTGGCTAGGGTTATTTCTTGGTATTTTAATTTTTGAGGCCATTGTGAACAGATTTGCTCTTCTAATTTTCATCCCCATCTGCACATTGCTGTTATGCAGAAAAGTTACTGGGTTTGGTGTCATGATTTCATGTCCTGTTCCTTTGTCAAAAGCGTTTGTCAGCTCTAGACATTTCAGGGTGAAATCTCTTTAGATATTTTGCATCATATCTTCTGTAACTTGGGATCATTTGACTTCTTTTTCCATATTTGGATCCCTTTTATATATATTTATATTTTTTGTTGTTCTGCTAGGAATTCTAGCGTTACATTGAATAAGACTGGGAGAATGGACATCCATATCTTGTTCTTTATTTAGAGCAAATGAAGACTAAGCCTTGTATTGAATTGAAATTATTGGCATTTGTTATAGCTTTATCATTTGCTTTTTAAAAGATTCAGAGAGCAATAATACCTCAGTAACACTAAGCACATCTAGCACCAGATTTCATCACTAACTACCATCCCCCCTTAAAAGAAACTAGGGCTCCTTGGAACAAGTGTCAATTTGAGGTCTGTGGTAAGAAAAGGACAAACTGTTTATATATTCAGAAAGTAAGAAAATTCTTAGAAGATGATAAATCTATGTTGAAAGATTGAAGATGCTAACTTGAAGTTATTCCCAATGGCCAAACAGGGGACAATTTGAGCACCAAAAATCTTTTCTGGAATGGATTTTGACACACCAATTCTTTTTCTTAAAAAATCTATAAATCCCCATTGGCACAAAAACAATTTAAAGCTCTTTCCAGAAGAGTGTTAAGGAATAAATGTAGTATGTATCATAGAGTTAGAAAAAATACTAGACAAGAATGACCAGTGGTACTTAAATAATCAGAAAACAGATAAACAGTGTCAAGCTAGCAGTCCACACATAGCTTGTTCATTACAAAGAGGAGAAAGATATCCTTGCAGAAGATAAACCTGACAGTACCACTTTCACGACTAAACTTAACAACTTAAGTATTACACCACACCAACATATTCCTTTTGATGTAATGAGTTCAAAGACATTTCTATACAATATATTGCCAAAAAAAAGCTTATTCTGAATCTAATCAGAAGGGGACAACTATCAAACCGAAATTTAGGGATATTGCTGTAAACAACTGTCTTTGCTCTTAAAAGTATCTATGAGATGAAAGAAAAAATAGTTTGGAGAATTGTCTTAGCTTAATTGAGACTAAAGAGACAAGCAATGCATGATCCTGGATTTGATCCTAGACTGGAAAACCAAAACAAAGCACAAATACAAAATCCAGGACATCAGTGAGCCTACTGGGGGAAATTTGACTATGGTTCTTATAAATAAAGATTAGTGTTCGTCAGTGTTACATTTCCTAATGATGACAGTATTGTGAATATGAAGGAAAACATTACAGAAATGTGTGTGCATATATATGTATAAATGTATGTCTAACATCTTTGAGAATCTTAAGGTCATACCACCAGACAAGTCAGGAGCATGCAGTGTCAGTAAATGGCCTACTATGTAGAAGGCAGCAGGGACATTCATAAAAGACAGAAAAACATTGTTTAGATGTGAGAGGTGGCAGATAACTGGTGATCTAGGCAGAAGCAATGAACTGAAGCGTAAATGGAATGGCAGTAGAGTATAGGCGATTGTTTTAAAAACTTGTCTCATAAGAGAAGGAGAAATAGAAGCAACAGCCACAAGGTGAAGCAGAATGAAGGGAGGGTTGCTTTTAAGAATGGAGCAGTAGGGTGTCAGTGGTTCACACCTGTAAATTTGACTACTCAAGAGGCTAAGGCCTAGAGGATCACAGTTCAAAGCTAGTCCCAGCAGAAAAATCTGGAAGATTCTATCTCCAACTGAATCGCCAAAAGCTGGGTTGAAGGTATAGTTTAAGCAGTAAAGGACCTCCTGTGGGCAAGGGAGCCAAATAAGAGCACAAAGTCTTGAATTCAAGTCCTGATACCAGCATGAACACACAAAAAAAAGAGAGAGAGAGCTGGGTGCTGGTGGCTTATGCCTGTAATCCTAGCTTCTCAAGAGGCTGAGATCTGAGGATCGGGGTTCAAAGCCAGCCTGGGCAGGAAAAGCTGTGAAACTCTTATCTCCAATAAACTACTAGAAAAACCCAGAAGTGGTGCTGTGGCTCCAGTGGTAGAGCGCTAGCCTTGAGCTGAAGAGCTGAAGGACAGCCCTCAGGCCCAGAGTTCAAGCCTCATGATCAACAAAGAGAGAGAGAGAGAAAGAGAGAGACAGAGAGAGAGAGAGAGAGAGAGGAGAAGACTATTGTGGCACTGGTGGCACACCCCTGTAATCCTAACCATTTGGAGGCTAAAATTAAGAAGTTTGAAGTTTGAGGCTGTCTGGGCACACACATGAGATTCCTTCTCAAACAATAACTAAGTGCTAGTAATGTACACCTATCATCTCAGCTGTGTTGGAGGCTAAGATGGACAGATTGTCCAGCTTGGGCAAAAAGGTCCATGAGATTTCAATGGAAAGAAGCTGGACATTGTGGTATGTGCCTATCATGCAAATTACAAATAACTGAAAATAGGCAGATTGTGATCCAGGTTTGTTCCAGAAGAGCAAGTGAGAAACTATCTACAAAATACTTAGAGCTGCTGGCATGCATGTTTCAGAGTGCGCTCCTAACAAGCACAGAGGCCATGAGTTCAAAACCCACTACCATCAAGGGGGAAAGAAAGGAATGGGGCATATTTTGATTTAAGGACTAATCAGAATGGGGTAGTGAAAAGTTGTAATACAGAGTACAGGAAGAATAACTGTGGCATGGTGGAGAGTGGAGCTGGGACTGGAAATGTATATTCCCACGGCCTCAATATTTTTTCTAATGAAGTAGTAGACAATTATCATCTGAGACAAAGGGGACTTAGACTTTTGTAGAAGACTAATGGAGAGGAGGAAAAATCAGGGCTAACATTGTGAGGACAAGATGTACAGGACATTATATTGAAAACGAACGTTACACTGTCCGGGTGCGGGGGGGGGGCAGGACAAGTTGGGGAGGTGGGGAGGGAAGGGATGGTAGGGGAAAAATAAAGGAGGAGGTAACAATGTTCGCTATGAAGTGTGCTCATACCCTACTCATGTAACTGTAACCCCTCTGTACAACATTTTTACAATAAAAAAAGAATAACAAAAAAAAGAAAAATTGGGGCTAAGTTTTGCCATTGCTTTTTTTGGAGGGATGGGGGTCGGGAGTCGGTCGTGGGGCTTGAATTCTGGGCCTGGGTGAGGTCCCTCAGCTCTTCAGCTCAAGGTTAGTGCTCTACCACTTGAGCCACAGCACTACTTCTGGTTTTCTGATGGTTAATTGGAGATAAGAGTCTCATGGACTTTCCTGCCTGGGCTGGCTTTGAATCACGATCCTCAGATCTCAGCCTCCTGAGTAGCTAGTATTTCAGGCATTAGTCACTGGCAACATTGTTCAAACATCCTTACTTAGCTTTCACAACTTAAGGCAGAATATTGACAATGTCATATGTGTCATAAGTGTAACACAGACATCATGACTAGAAAGCAACCCACCTGGGTAAATGCTGCATCCTGGCTTGACACATATATATCTATTTCTTTATCCTCTTTCTTGGGTACCACACGGACACTCTGAGTTTCCATATAAAAATGTTCCTGTCCTCCAAAGTGCACTTCCCCTTTTAGATACATCAAACATATGAAGCTTTTAGGAACACTTCATTTAAATGTATTCAAAATAGAATGTTATTAGTGTTATTTTTAAGGTGATGAGCATAATACTTGGTGTCCTGTCTTATTTCAAAGAATCTCCCAACTTAGAATTACTCAGAGCAATGCAATTCCTTTACAATTGCTTGTAGACTTAGGCCCTCTAATGTCTCTAATCCTTTAGTTCTTTATCTTCTACCTGCCTCCAAACAAGTAATAATTTCCATCACATTACTAATATCCTGTTTCTCCTACCTAAACAAATCTTTAATGTAAGAATGCTTTTGGATTCTTCTTTGCTTGTCACATCTAGTCAGTGCTTAAATACTGCACCGACATTCTCTCTACTCCATTGTATTTATCATCATTTTTACCTGGAATATTATCATGACCTTTGACCTTATCTTTGGTACACTCTCTTCCTCTTTCTAGCAGATTCGATAAAGGATAACTATGAGCCTTTCACCTTACTATTGGAAGATCTCAAATATCTTCTGTTATCAGTGGAACCAGTACAGATTGTTTTGGACTAAGGAATCAAGTTTCTTCATAAAATTACTCTCACTTCTTTGAATCTTATGTTCATGTCCTTCTTCTTAAATTCCCTTAATAAGAACTAAGATGTATCACTTTCATCCAACTTGTATAAAATTAAGGTATACTCAATATATTCAAAACTCCCCCGATAAGAAGGGACGTAGGATTTCACCTTCAATGATTTGATCAACACACTGAAACGCCTCTTCAACATTTCCTTGCTCTAGTTTTTTCTCAGGTCCAATGAATGATTTGTGCTGTATTGCATCCTATAGAAGTAATAGATTAAAAGTGTCACTAATGTTGCCCAACTCAGGATTTCTGACTAGTCACTGCCACCTCTCACACGGCGAAAGCCACCTGCGATGTTAATCCTGGATCTTAGATTGCCCTAGGACAACACAGATTTCAGACACAATGTCCCAGTGCCTCAGTGTACTCAGCTGCATCTTTCAGACCATATCCCCTGAGCAGACACATTTCAGAAAATATGACATAGAATGGTGGTTAGATGTTATTGACCATCACATGCATATTTAATTACCTATAAATGTCAATCTTCACTGAAGTCAGGACTCCTCTAGCTCTACTAATCCTCAGAACAAACCTATTGTAGAAGTTTAATATTCCACTAGTCTAAACCTTTAGACTATTTAGAATTCCTTCTACCTCTTATTTCTAGCTAAGAATTTTGATAGGAATGTGACAGAAGAATGATTTAAATACCCAGATGTGCACAGAGACACAGCCTTTATTCTTTAATGTATTCAAGCTGTTCTTAAGCAGTCTATGTTCTATATTTCATGAATACTTTCAAAGTTATATTGAAAACTTCCCTTTCAAAATCGGATAATGACTTTATTTAAACTAAAATAAGCTGAGTGTACTTGATGAAGAGGCCTGCCCCTGCGTGGCCTTCTTTCTAGTTCCCATCCTTTCCTCAAAGTAACCATCATCATTAGCTTCTGGAGCTTATAAATGCAAATGCAAACAATTATGAGTTTATGCTCTCCGATTTGTATATTTATTTGCATCTTGCCTTTCACTTACAACCTGGAGTTATTTCTGTTACAGTGAACAGAGAATATCTTCACTCGGAAAGTATGTCTACAGTGACATAGAATTCCATTAGATTTTTTTTTAATTTTTATTTTTTGCAGTGCTGGGAGTTGAAACCAGAGCTTCCCACATGCTAGGCCAGTGTTCCACCACTGAGCTATCCCCCAAAGCCCAAAGTCCATCCTTATAGGTAGATGAACACTTTAATTAGCTTCTGATATTTTACTATCATAAACAACGGTGTAAACAATAATTTTGGAAACTATATTACTCATGCTTTTCATGACTGTGGCCAAATACCTGACAGAAACAACTTACAGGAGGAAATGTTTGTTTTAGCTCACAGTTTCAGGAATTGAGCCCAAGGTCTTTGGTTTCATTGAGTCTGAGCTCAGTGTGAGGCAGAACATTGTGTAATAATCACATGATGAACAAAAGAAGCTGTTCACCTGAGGGGGGACAGGAAGTAGAAAGAGGTGGGAACTGGGGAGCAGCCATATCTTCAAAGGCACATCCCCAGTGACCCACTTTCTCCATCTATGCCCCACCTATAAAGTTTCCACCAACTCCTCAAATAGTAGCACCAGCTGGGGTCCAAGCCTCCAGCATGTGAGCATGGGGGAGATATTGCACATTCAAACAATAACAGAAACCAGCTGAGCTTCAGGATAAAATCTCAGAGTAGGTTTCCTGTTTAAAGAGTATGTATATTTGGAATTTTCATTTTTTTCTCATAGTGTTATTCTAGTTTATTTCTCCCAAACTGACCAACTGAATATATTATAAAACTTGTGCTTTCTTGTCAATTGGATAGGTTAAAAACAATACTTCTTTATAGTTTTTAATTTAAACTCTCATGATAAGACCTGACATTACTTCCTATGTCTACAACCTATTGTGATCTGCCTGGCTTTCCTCATTTTTTTTTTTTTTTTGGATTTTAAAAATTTGATTGTAAGGGTGAGGTACAGAGGGGTTACAGTTACATGAGTCAGGTAATCAGTACATTTCCTTTTGAACAGTGCCAGCTCCCTCCCTCATTTTCTCCCAGTTTTTCCTCTCTTGACTCCCCCCCTCCAAGTTATATAGTTCATTTCCAAAATAGTATCTAATGAATATCACTGCCGAATTGGTTCATCCTTTATCCCACCATTTCTGTGCTTCCTTTTCCCCTTCCCAAATCAGATCAACTTATATACCGGACAAAGTATACAGAAATATTAAACAGCAACAGAAGGGAATAAACCAAAGGGGAAAAAAGAAGGAAAAGAAAGAACTACAAACAGTACAATTAAAAAAACAACAACTCTTGCTTCCATTTCTTGGAGTTCATTTCAATACTCATCATTTTTGCTTATTTTTTGTTTTTATTTATTTTGTTGGTCGTGGGGCCTGAACTCTGGCCTGGGCACTGTCCCTCAGCTCTTCAGCTCAAGGCTAGCATTCTACCACTTGAGCCACAGCATCACTTCCAGCTTTTTCTGCTTATGTGGTGCTGAGGAATCGAACCCAGGGCCTCATGAATGCAAGGCAAGCAGTCTACTACTAAGCTACCTTCCCAGCCCATCATCATTTTATGTAATCATATACACATAGCTATTGAACCCTTGCCATTCTCTCCTAAGAATATCCTCCTTTGAAAAACAAAGGAAGGAGTAACAATGCTTGACAAGAAATATACTCATTACCTTATTCATGTAACTGTAACCCCTCTGTACAGCATCTTTACAATAAAATAAAAAAAAGAATATCCCCCTGTGTTCTCACTGTGTGAATGTTTAGACTGCTATTTAATTAATCATGCCCAGGTGTAATTATTTGTCTTTCACTATCAATTGGGTTTACTTATAGATTTATAGGCACATTCTAATTATTACAAATGAGAGAAACTCTGAAGCCTATGTGTCTTTGGGTCTGGCTTATTTCAATTAGTATAATTTTTTCCAAGTCTTTCCATTTCCTTATGAATGAGGCAATGTCATTCTTTCTGATGGAAGCATAGAATTCCATTGTGTATATATACTAAATTTTCTTAATCCTTTTGTCCACTGAGGGACATAATGCTGCAATGAATATGGTTGTGCTGGTGGCTTTAGTATAGCCTGGTTTGTGGTCATTTGGATAGATGCCCAGGGGTGGAATTGCTCGGTCATAGGGAAGTTCTCTGTTTAGTCTTTTGAGGAACCTCCATACCTTACTGCTTTCCAGAGTAGTTGGACAAGTTTGTATTCCTACCCACAGCATAGTTCCTTTTTGACCACATCCTTGCCAGCATCATTTATTGTTAATTTTCTTGATAATGGCCATTCTAACTGGAGTGAAGTAGAATTTAAATGTTGTCTTGATTTACATTTCTTTTATGGCCAGAGATATTGAACATTTTTGTGTGTCTATTGGAAACTTTTGCTTCTTCTTTGGAGAACTCTCTCTTTGTTGTTAGCTCATTTATTAACTGGTTGCTGTTTCTTTGAGGATATTTTTTTGGGAAGTTCGATTTTTTGAACTTTAAGTATATTTTAGATATAAGGCCCTTTTCAGATGCATAGCTAGTAAAGATCTTCTTCCATTCTGTGGGCTTTCTATTTATCCTGCTGGATATGTTCTTTGCCATGCAGAAACTCTTCAGTTTGATGCAGTCCCATTATCTACTCATTTTTTGATTTGTTCTGATTCTGGATCTTCACTTAGGAAATTTCTACCTGTGCCAAGGAGCCCTAGTGCCAAGGGGCAGTCTCCCCTTCCTATAATATTATCAGTGTATCTAGTCTTTCATTGAGGTCTTTGATCCATTAGGAGTTGATTCTGATGCAGGGTGATATATAACGATCTAATTTCATGTGTATAGACAATTCTGCCAGCACCATTTGTTGAAGAAGCTTTCTTCTATCCTGTGTTTTTGGATCCCTTATCAAATATGAGGTCTGTGGGTTCTTTTCTACCTTTCCTCATTTTTGATTCTCTCTTCCTTTTTCATATCTAGGAAATCATGTTATAATTTTTAAAAATTAGCTCATTGTCTTTGGTACAGTTTACAATGTTTTCCAGTTGATGTTTATCTTTCAACTGCATATTATGTTTTCTTCATATTAAGTTATGAAGTTGAATTTATTAATCTTCTGTGTTCTGGTATTTAGAATTTGAGGTACAGCCAGAAATACAATAGAGTTTACCATGCATTCTTTGCTTTCTGGATTTTGTTTTTTAGACTTCTAATTGTAACCCTTTATAAAAATCATGCTTCTTTGCATAGTAGGATAATTTGTAAAGGCTGATTCTTGCCATTCATTATTTTAGATGAAGAACTTAGAACATTGTCTCAAGTAAGACATAATCCACAGAATTTACTTGTTGGAAAGTTTTTTTTTCTGTCTTTCAACAGAGCAGCAGAGGTTGTTATCTAGTACATTACGTAGCCTTGCCACATTACACAAATGGACCCTATGACTGTCCCTCCTCTAGGCAATGATGCCACTTCCTCTTTAGTGAATCTATCACACAATGCACAAAAGGAATCACTGTGACTTTATCTCAGAACCTGGCAAATAGTGAAAAAAAAGAGCCCAGAAAAAAAATGCACTCTTTCCACATTCAGTGAGGTGAGAGTCAGCTCCATGTAGGGCAAGGATTGGGAGTTGGAACATGGGACAATAGCTAAGGGAAAGAAATTTTAGAGGGGCTGGGAAGGTAGCTCAGTGGTAGAGCACTTGCCTTGCATGCCTGAAGCCCTGGGTTTGATTCCTCAGCACCACATAAACAAAAAGAAAAAAGCCGGAAGTGGCGTTGTGGCTCAAGTGGTAGAGCGTTAGCCTTGAGCTGAAGAGCTGAGGGACAGCGCCCAGGCCCAGAGTTCAGGCCCCACAACCGGACCCCCAAAAAAAAAGAAAAAGAAATTTTAGATTTACAAATGTTCAAATCTATCCTAAGAGGCAAAGGCTTGAACTTTCTAAGATCAAATGTCAATTTGGGAATTTGGGACTCTCCCTTTAGGAAAACCAGAAGCATTTCAAATGTACTTAGTGACGATGGTCAGATTAAAGATCTATTGTGGTTTGAGAGAATGCATTTCCAGTTAGAAGAAATTGGTGATTAGAGCAACAAGGCTTGCGAAAGAAAGTCTATTTTCTAATCTATGATCTCCATTTTATCAGAGGGAAAGTTAAAGGTTTCCACAAATACTGTGCAACTATAATCTTTCCTGCAACAACCCACTGCCAAATGGCCAAAAGACAGAGCAGATAATGACATTACCTGAATGGTCACAATGACAGGCTCCAAGTCTTGGTACACAATCTTTACTTTTTTTGCTGCCTGCTTTGCATGGGCATATGAATCGGCAGCCACAGCACAGACAATCTGCCCCACACAAATCACCTGTAGAAAGAACAGACCAAGCAGAGAATGAAAATGTGCCCAGCAAGTCCTAGATCAGTCTAGCATGCTGTCTGGTTCTGAGGCATAGCAGAAAGCATGGGGCTTGGGTTGAAAACTGGCACTGCCACCAGGGCCTCAGAGAACTGACTAAAATCACTTAGGCTTCAGTGTCTTCATCCTAAGATAACAAAAACAGTGCCAACTGAACAGTGAAGTTAGCTGCCTTAAATCTGTTCCCAAAGAAGACTGAGTACAAATAAGTAGTGTGAGGTTGGTAGGACTACATGTGATCCTATGTATAAAATTCCTTGGAAAAATGGATTGGTACCAGAGAAGAACAGCTGCCACTATTATTGATACGCCATGAGAGTGGTAGACACCTTAATGCCACTACCTCATCCTGCGCGTACAGCCTTTCTTCTTCACTGCCATTGTTACCAGGAACATCTTGAGCAGTGATCACATCAGCCACACCAGGCAATGCCAGGGCCTCAGAGGCATCAATGGAACTGCGGAGGAAACAAGACCATAAGCCCCTCTTCCTTGAGCATAGGCAAATCCCAACAACCCCACTGTTTCACTTGATCATCACAGGAAAGTCCACAAAGAGCAGTGTGTGGACACGGGGCCAATACCATGGGGAAGGGAGGACACTGATTTTTCTGGACGCAAGGGGAGACCAAAAGGGATATTTTTTAGGAGAGCATTTGTTATTTCCCTCTTCCAGGAGTCTCTAGAAGCTTGTATTCAATCCTCAGCACCTTGAGAAGGCCAGGTTCCTCTGATGGTGGACATTTAGAAAAAGGGTAGAGAAAAACATAGGTCTTTGGGATCTTTTGTGCTGAGGAAATTGAATGAAGAGTTACTCTTTTCCATTTACAGAAAACAATGGCTACCTCTTCCAATACTAGTTCTCTAACTTGATAAGAACTTAGTCTTTACTCCCAAGTCGAGAATTTTCTGACTTTCTTTTAGTTTCTCTTATCAAGATATATACTGAAAACATCACTATTATTTTGTGTGTGAAATGGTTTAATATATTGAGTTGGATAGAGGGTTTAACTAGCTTTCCAACTTCACTCTTATTACTTACATGATTCTAGCATGTGGCCTGGTGCTGGTTACCACAGCCAGGAAGAGTTCCTCTGCCAAAACAGGCATGTCATCACAAAATACAGCCTCTCCTGTGGCATGCTTAATGCCAGACTGATGCATGATGGGCCGGCCCACTGGGTCATGAGGAGGCTGCTGGGGATCTACACACTGTATTTTGGAAAATGGAAACAAATTGATCAATCATAGCTGTAGTTGCTGGTACTTGCCTAGCCATGCAAATAAGAATTTTCTGGAAGGGACAGAGTTTTGCTACTTTCATTGTTCTCTCTCCTGCCTTATTTATTGACGTTGGTAAGGATCACTGTCGTAAAATTGGAACCAAAAAAATGCAGAGGCAGCAAAGGAGGTTTCTGCTGCCCCCTATTGGTAGCCTCCTCCTAACCTGGCCAGTGAATAAATAAGCTATTTAATATCTATTATTTTATTATAAGAAAGTGCATGCATATTGAAAAAAGAAATTCCAACTCTATCAGTCCTGGGAACAAACAAAACTTCAAATTGTTGTCAATGTGCTAGATGAAAATGATATGTTGCTTCTAACATAATTGGCATTTTCAAAATCCTGAGTGGAGCTCTATCTCTATGGAGTTAATGTTTTTATTTTTCCGGTGATCTGCCAGGTGCTATACTTGGCTTATTTTACTTTATTTTTTCTTATTGATTTATAAAAGTTTTGTTGCAAATGTTTCTCTTTTTTTACTTTCTCTTTTATATAGTCAAATTTGTCAGTCTTTTCCTTTATGGCTTCTGGGTTTCAAGTTATACCTAAAAAGGACCATATATCTGATATATATGTTTGATATATATATATATATATGTGTGTGTGTGTGTGTGTGTGTGTGTGTGTGTGTGTGTGTGTATAATATATCTCAAACACATTTTTCTAGTAATTCCATGTTTCATCGTTAAGACTTTAATCAGTCTGTAATTCATTCTCGTTGTAAAGTGGTAAATGGAAGTACCATTTTATGTTTCTTTCTCTGGTTTTTAACATGACTAGCTAGTTGTGCCACTACCTTTTATAAATACTCTGTTTCATTATGGAGGTTGATTTCAGGGCCTTGATTACTTGTTTTTCTTCACTGACATTCTACCCCTTGAGCCATGGCTCCAGACCAGCTTTCTGCTTGTTAATTGAAGGTAGAATCTCACAGACTCTTCTGACCAAGCTGTTTGGATCCTGAGTCCTCAGACCTCAGCCTCCTGAGTAGCTGGGATTACAGGTGTGTCCTCATGGCACCTGCCTGCATTTTTATTTCTAATGATGCACCATCTCCTAGTTTATTTGTTGAGTCTATAATGTTCGATTTGTCTTTTAGCCTCTTCTTGTACCAGTATTTATTATGCTTAATTACTAGAAATATATACTGGCATTATATAGGGTTAGTTTCCCTGCATTATTAATTTGAAAATAAGTTTCCTGAAAGATCATATTGGTATTTTGATGGGGAATGCATTTAATGTCCTAATAGAAACTTGAAGTCTTTATACATTTTATGTCTTTTTAAGGACTACATCATGCCCTGTATTTAAGTATTTTTTCCTCGTTCACCACTAGTTTAATAATTCCCTGCTTATAGTCCTTGAAACCTAAGTGATTTGATTCCTAGAGATTTACTTTCCATTTGCCTTTTCAGTGGGATTTGTTACCCTCTCACATTTTCTAACTGATAATGCTCATATGCAAATATCCCATAGCTGATCCTTTCCAAAAAGTAATTCAAAAGCAAAGCCAGGTTAAAAAGACAATTTCAATTCTGCTACTGGTCCTTTGGAAAATGAACTGACCTCAAATGATTGCATCCCCTGGGGAATGGCCAAAGGAAAATCTTCCAGGACGCTGATGAGTGTTTTAGAGAGACCAGGATATCCACGTGGGTCCTGAAGAACAAATACTTCTATTATTTTAATGAAAAATACTAATTGTAATGACACAATTGCTTGACATAAGGAAAAAACCTGGCACCTCTGAATGTTCTCCACACTTTGATTTTCATTGCTTAGAGAAGGTTATATGAATTTTAGGAGCTCTTTGAGTTCTGTCCATTAAGGACCCTCAGAAACATAGCTTGAAAACCGGACTATGGTCAGGTCACCATATGGTGCCCCGTTAAGCTTTAAGTTTTAAAGAGAGGTTGGCAGAATTTGAAACAAACTGTCTTCCTGGAGAATCTTAAAGACAAACCCATTTTTACCCTCATCCTCAACTGCTGCAAAACATCCAAGTAGAATTTGAAGAAGAAACTGATGGCGAGAGTCCTTCGATATGCCACCATTCCTCCAGGGGCTGACTGGGGAAGGGCGATTTCTTCTAGAACCAGTCTGCAAGCATCATTTAGCATTCCTTCATCCCAACATCTACACATAGGATAAAGGAATCCAATCAGTTTAGCACAGTGAGGGATAAACCAAAGTGTACCATTTACCAGAAAATTAGGTTAAAAAACTATAAATAGGGTGCTAAAATCTATTTTCTCTAACAGGAATATGATCATATTCACTTAGGTCTCTTTGTGCACACTGCTTTATTTAAAATCTTGCTTTAAATGATCACATGAACTTACTGTGTAAAATGCTAAGATGCAGGAGAGAATGATGTCTCCTGAGAGATGTCAACTGTCCTCAAAGGGCTAACAGACTTATTTTGTACTAAGTATAAGCTGATAAATTACCTTCCGATTAGCTGTCGGCAGGATTTGTTTGCATTGACTGTTGTAGGGCCAAGCCCTCCATATAAGATGTTCAGGTCCGCAATGGTGGTTGTGTCCTCTTTGAAAAGGACTCTCACCCCTGTGTTTACAACCGCGAGGGCATTTTGTTGACATGGAGCTTGTCTGAAAGCTGACACAAACTCCCACTGCAAAACAACCACAGTGACTGATCAGTTTGAAAATTCATGAACCTGAGAAAGTCTCCAGAGCAATACAATAAGTACCTACCTCTCATTCACTTAGATTTGCTTATTTATCAGTGCTTTTCCACCAATCTTATACTAGGTATGCACATACACACACATTACACACTCATGCATTCAGTCTTAGTTGGAGCATCTGAAAGTTAATGACATTTTATAATGACATTTCATCATTAAAAATTCCCACAAGCTGGGAACTGGTGGCTCACACCCATGGCTCAAAGCCAGCCTCAGCAAGAAAGCCTGAGAGACTCTTATCTCCAACTAACTACCAAAACAGCCCTTAAATGGAGCTATGGCTGAAGTGGTAGAATGCTAGCCTTGAGCACAAAAGCTCAAGGGCAGTGCTCGAGCCCAGAGTTCAAGCCCCAGGACCAGTACAAAAGAAACAAGATCCACAGGTAACTCCTAAAATACATGGAATTTCTCCTTTGTAACTATCTAGACTGTCATGATAATGAGTCATATTAATGGTTAATGGTACAATACTATTATTTAATATATAATTCATACTCAAGTTTCTGCAAGTATACAATTGGGAGCCTTATATCTCATAAGGGCTATGAAGGTGTCATCTTTGTAGCCTCTTAGCGTCTTTATTCTAGAGGCATTCTAGAATAAAATTTTATTTATAACACTGACGTGTGTGTGTGTGTGTGCACGCACACACACACACACGCATGCACGCTAGTACTCAGGCTTGAACTCAGTGTCTGAGCATTGTCTCTGAGCTCTTTTGCTCAAATCTAGCTAGTGCTCTAGCATTTGATTCACAGATCCATTTCCAGCTTTTTGGTGATTAAATTTGAAATAAAATCTTTGAGCCTGCCCTGGTTTCAAACTATGATCCTCAGGTTTCAGCCTCCTGAGTAGCTAGACTTGTAAGCATGAGCCACCAGAACCCAGCCTGACACTGACATTTTTGAGTCATAGATTAGTTGTTTTTAAAATTCTCTCAGTTTAGCTTTTGTGACTTTTTTCTTCATGAATTGGTGTAGGTTAAACTCTGGCAAATAGATATTGTCATTAAGTCATCAACAGTCAAAGCTATATTTTGCCCAATTACAAACACATGAAATCCTCGTATACTGACAGTATCTTCATATGATCAGAACTCAGTTGGTTCTTATGTACTTCTCTACAGTTCTCATTAATTTGAAGAAAACATTAATTTGGGATAGTGAGGCAAAAGTGGAAGATGTTTTAGAAATGCTTCTTTTCCCCTTCCTTCCTTCCTTCCTTCCTTCCTTCCTTCCTTCCTTTCTTTTTCTTCCCTCCCTCCCTCCTTCCCTTCCTTCCTTCCTTCCTTCCTTCCTCCCTCCCTCCCTTCCCTCCTTCCCTCCCACCTTCCTTCCTTCCTTCCTTCC